TTAGGGTTTAGGGGTTTAGGGGCTTAGGGTTTAGGGGTTTAGGGTTTAGGGGTTTAGGGGTTTAGGGTTTCGGGGTTTAGGTTTTAGGGGTTTAGGGGTTTAGGGTTTATAGGGTTTAGGGTTTAGCGGTTTAGGGGTCTAGGGTTTAGCGGTTTAGGGTTTACGGTTTATAGGGTTTAGCGGTTTAGGGTTTAGGGGTTTAGGGAAGAGGGTTATCAGTTATCATGAAACCCGACAGCATTCAAGTTCTGCAGCATTCACGCGGTCCGTCGCCACAGTTACTTCGGGGCTGAGTACCCTAGCCCAAAAACGGTTAACCTTTACAAGCGTAGTAGGGTTCTACAAGCCCCAAAAGGTTCAAGGCTACCTACTCAGCCCTTCCCCCGTCCTCGCCTGCGCATCGTCGGTGAAGGTGCCAAACATCCGGTGTCCTGAACGCCACGGCTCGGACGATCTTCGCTGGGCAGCTGGGATCTGGGTCTGTCCTACCCATACACCCCATAGTAGTTCCTTTTCGGGATTCCCTGATAGAATCCCAAATCCAAGCCACAAAAAGGAACTAGTATGGGGCCCATGGGTAGACGGTCCTATACTCCGGTACCCTAAACCCTAAACTCTAAACCCTGAACCCTAGACCCTAAACCCTAAACCCTAAACCCTAAACCCTGAACCCCCGAAGCCCTGTCACAGTGTGCCCTGCCTCCGACCGACAGGCTGACCTGTGAGTCGCCTTGAGGGGACCTCAGCCAGGGGTTTAGGGTTTAGGGTTTAGGGTTTAGGCAGTTCAATGCTTCCTGAGTTTTTTTTTAAGGGCCTTTTTCCACCTCGCAACAAGTCACTAGGCAGAGAGCCTCAATGAGTTTGGGGGTTTAGAGTTTAGGGTTTTGGGCTTGCGGGGTTCAGATTTTAATGTTTTTGAGTTTGGGGGTTTAGAGTTTAGGGTTTTGCGCTTTTGGGGTTCAGATTTTAATGTTTTTGAGTTTCGGGTTTAGAGTTTAGGGCTTTGGGGCTTTTGGGATTCAGGGCTGTAGGGCACTGTAGTGGTCAGACTTTGCGGTAAGATCAGGGCTTCAGAAATAGTATGTCTTCGTTGAGCTTGAGGGTACCTGTCGACACGAGAATGCCGATGCCCTGCAATAATTATGCTACAGTAAGGGGGCTTCGGCATGGCCTCATACAGGACTCCCTTATGATATATATATATATATATATATGTATATATATATATATGTACATATACATATGTATATATATATATATATACATACATATATATATATATATATATAGGTCAGGTTGCAGGTTCGTTCATGCGTATCGTAGAATAGTTCTCAGGAAGGGAGAAGCGGCAACTGAGCGCCACACTCACGGTGCATGTGGGTGTTTGTCAAAATTATGGTCCCTTTCTGGGTCCTTATTACAATACAGGACCTATTATTTAGGGTACCCCCAAGGGAACCATAATTTTGACAACTACCCATGTGTATACGGCGTAGAGTTTGGGAGCTTATTACCCCATACTTAATCATAAGCTTTTCGGTTAACGTCCTGTATACTTTGCTTAGGACGTAGGCCCTTGGAGAGCCAAAGCGCAAGCCAGCCTCTGCCTTCAGATGGAATGCAAGTGTTGCAGCCGACTTCTGACGCTCTACACCTTAAAACCCAAAAAGCGTCGCCTCAATTGAACCCACAAGCCTAACGCCTCACGCCGGGGCACAGAACCGCCACAGAGTTGTTGCTGAAAATGACCAGCGAGTCAATGATCTGCGCGATCATCTCGCCATCCTCCAGGGTGCTTCGAAAACTGCTTCCGGTGGGATATCGCGCCCTTACAGTAGCAAGTGACGAGCGACTGGCGCCGCAAGTGGAGGTTGACCCAATCTAAACCGAAAGCCCTGAAAGAAGTGTCCTGTCGGAACCAGCAGCCCTGTAGTCTCTTCAGCACCGACCGGCCGTAGAATTTGCCTGGAAGAGGGGCTGTGGTATTCAGGAGTTCCGGATTCTGGGTGGGCTTTGGGGCTTGATCGCTTGGGGGCTCTTCCGGCTTCAGGGCTGCTTTGCAGCCTTTAGGGTTTAGGGTAGGGGCTTTTGGGGATTTTGGGGGCCTTCGCGTGGCATATGCGCTCTGGAGGCTTTCGGGTCGTTGGCTTGTAGGTTTCGGAGGCAGCTCTTTGGTTTGTGGGGCTTTCGGGGTTCAACAACACTCGGAGCCATGGGCGTCTATCGGTCGGTCTCCTTCGATACTGTCACTGCTAAACTTGACTGCGGAGGGTCAGTGGTGCACAACTTGAACCCCCGACCCGGCGCCTGCAAAATTCTGCAGAAGTCAAGATACCATAAGATACCTCTTGAATCCCAGGACAGAATTGTGAGTCATGGACTATTCCTTGCATTGAGATGTGGGGCTTTCCGAAAAAAGGGGACCCTAAGATAGCACCCTAAATAATAGGGTCCGTATTATAAGGACCCCAAAATAAGGTACCCCTTATATTCGGAAACTCCCATGTGGAAGGATCTTCGAAAGGTGCACCCTCTGAGTGCCCCGACCCGTAGCCGACTCCTTCTGGGGAATGACCGGGGTGATCTCGACGATCGTGCTGCTCTCTAAGGCCTCAACGACCTCTGAGAGCTTGTGGCTGTAGGAACTTCTTGACTTGAAACCTCAATGCCTCCTGAACCCTTAGGAAGCGAAGCCCCCAACTCCTCAACCCTTTCAGAACTTCGTCTCGGGCTTGGGGCCAGAAGAGGTTGTTGCAGACTTGGAAGTGGTTCGGCTCTACATCTTCCTGCTTCAGGGTTCAGGGCTTCTCACTTCAGGCTTGAGAATGGGGGGGGAGGGAGTAGTTCAGGTTTCGGGCTTGGGGGTTAGGGCGGTTTGGGTTGGAGGACCTTGTAAGCTTTTGTCTTGGTGTGTGTGCGTGTGTGTGTGTGTGTCATGAAGCAAGAAAACAAAAACTAAAACGGCGTAGTAGACCTTCCCCAAAACCCTGCAGAAGGCCGAATAAGAGCGGCGATTAGGCGTTTTTTGGTTTGTTGTGCGAGCGCTATCTGTATTGTGCTGTAATCGTGGCTGTCAGTTACATGTGTCAAGAGTCTCCCAGACTCAAACCCGCTTGACCCTACGGTCCTGGTTCGGAAAGTTCCGATTCCAAACGCAACCCTGCAGCGCCAAGCGTCTTAAGTCAAACAAAACACATCTACCGAAAAGCCCTATTCCGATCAACATAATGCACATGCACATAGCACACTGCATGTACAACGCACATCCATTGCCTGTGGTGCTCTACATGTACAATTCACAATATCTGTCTTCCCAAACGGCTACCTGCAGAGCTGCCATGCACCCTGCTGCAACCCACCGCAAAAGATCGCTGAATCCCAAACCAGGCTTGAGCTTGGAACCTCCTCGTGTGCTGATTTGCACACCTCGCGAGCTTCGGGCCGCAAGGCTTCAGATCGAATCTGGGGTCTGAATGATTAATAATATAGGGACTGGGTGTAACTTACAGTCAAGTGATATACGTGGGTTGAAAGTGAGCATTGACGATCCAGGCCGACCGGGGTCAGAGGCCTCGCAATCTTTTGAAAGGAACTGGTAGAGAGTCATGTTCACGGGCACAAAGCATGAACCCCTAACCTGTAAACCCGAAATCCAGGGCACGAGGGCACACCCTTGCGCATCCAGTGGCTCCCGCACGGACGCTGGCTATGAAAGTGGTCATCCAAAGATGGTACTGCAATTCAGGGCCTGGGTGCGTGGTTAGTTCAAGGACTTCTGTAGTGAAGAAGTGCTGGACAAAACAACGGTGCGAAAGTCTGCAAATTCGTTGGCCCTCAAACACCTACACCTTACCTGGACCCCAAAGCCCTGCACCCAAAGCCCAACAAAAGGCAGCGGATACAACAACACCAACTTTCCTAATGTAGGGGCCTTGATAATTAGGATAGGGTTCTGGGGTCCATTCTAGTTACAATAAGGACCCCCCCCCCCCAAACAAAAAAATACAGTATAGATAGTTATTATGAAGGCCCCTAGATTAATTCAGTCCACCGCATTCGCCCCTGAAGGGATGCCTGGGGACAGCTCGTGCATGAACTGGCCAGGCCCACTCTCTCCAGAATGCGGGCAAAGCCATGGGAAAGCATCGTGAATTATAGGGGGGGGGGGGGGGTGTCGGGTGATGTTTTTGAGGATCTCTTATGGAGAGATCACAAGGATTATAGGTCTCCCGTGTCTGGTGCTTTGGGGTTGTAGAGTTTGTGTGAAAGGGGACTAAGAGCTCCTGGACTTGAGGGCAGAATGATAGGGCCCTTTAGCAACACTAAACCCTTAACCGGCGGATCAGGTGGGCCAAAGTGGCCTGTGGTGCCGAGCCGAAACGGAGCCGAGATAGACAGTTTGAAGATTGAGCATTCAGGAACCCCCTAAACCCTAAAACCCTCA